GCAGATTTCAACTTCATGCACATCAGTGCGGTCGCTGCACTGTGTTCAGCCAATCATGCAAGAGTAGTCTGGTCTTTATCACAAACGTCACACATTAAACATTCTCTGAAAGTACAGAGAGGCAAAAACAGCTCTATTTTCCTTCCTTTTTTGGGGGGGGTGGTGGTGTCAATGTAGAAATATGTGAAGACTATGTCTGATATTTATTTAACTTGTTTTAAATATGGCCTGGTTAGTTTCTGTGAAAACAAATAGTAAATTAAGTGTCCCTCTGAGAACCAAGAACATGCAAAGAAACAGACTCAATATTTACAAATCTTACACTGTTTTAAAGTCTCAAACAGAGTATTTTTAGAATGTTTTACATCAAAATGATGTAATGAAAACTGGTGACAACAACAAAGTACTGACACATCATCCATATGTACACTCTGTCAGCTGAACATGTTGACTAAATATTCAGGAAATCTAGGGAAATACAGTACTCAGAGCATCCAGCAACACTGTAACTCTTATCTAATATGAATCCAGCATCTCATGTGCTTTGTATCAGTCAACACAGTGCAAAACGATCAGCATCTGTATTGCTAACGAATAGATTTCTCTATTGCTATGAAAATATTTGGTGTTATACAGAACTGTCAGAGAAGATTTGGAGGGAAGACATTCATTTGGATGTAGTATACATTGTTTGAGCAGGGAAACAAAATTTAAATCATATATGACTACCTGGTTAGTAAGATTCAGTGAGTTAATTTTCTAACTTGTGTGACTAATTGATTCTGAAAATTACAGAAGCATAAAATCCTGTATTTTTGTTCTATTGTAAGCATATCTGAATGTTTACTGCCCCAGTTATGTTCAACATGGTTCCTCCATTTCCATAATGACACAGAATGTGAGAGGAGAGATCCAGAGCAGTGAAAAGAAAAAGTGCAAATGGACATGTAGCCTTAGGTCTTCAGTCCAGCTCCTGAAGTCCTAACCAATGGCAGAATCTGCTTGGCTGTAACTACCTAGATCCTGATTGGACAGTTTTCCACTTCATGTGTCAAGAATGTAGCCCTTTTCTTCCCAATCAAAAATTAACACTGACATAAGAGTGTTACTACAATACCTGTAGAGTTTAAATACAACAGGCCTGAAGATAGATTTTTCACAGAAATCATTAGGTCTTCTCTGAAGACCTAGAAGGCCCTGAGGATTCCCCTCTGCTTCACGACATGACTAATGTGTCGTATATGTAATGACAATCTTAAAAGGGATGTGTTTGTTTCCATCCAAATGACACAATGCATTCCTAACCAGACAGGGCCAGTGACTTCTGACCTCAGAGCTGGCCTCAGAGTACGGCTCGAGTTTTATTCCAAATACAAACTCCCAGTGTGACCTCGTAAGTCTCACAAGGGCCATTAAATTACAGAACATTGCTCCGCTCAGCAAGTCTTTACACACTCTCACACACGTGCATGCGCACACATACACACACACACACACACACAGTGCAATAACTTACCAATGCCCAAATTTTGTGTATGCAAGGTCCTCTCTGTCCATCAGTACACCTAACAATGAAACATCTGATTATTTATCAGTTTATTTTGTGAAAACGAAACCGCTGACTTCTAACTTTACCAATCAGTGCGATTAATTTTTCTAGGAGGTAATATGTAAATTAATCCCAGTACGGTTTGAGAGAAGTAACTGGTAACTTGTAATAGGTTACATTTTTAATTACTACCCCAACACTGTTTACTGTAATGGCCGGTAGGACTGTAGGACTCGAATCCAGGCGTTTTTTAAGATCTCTTACTGGTCTTGGACTCGGTAGTATTTGTATTCGGACTCGTCTCAGTCTCGGCCATCGCTCTCGCCAGATTTAACGTTAGGCTACTTTCTGGTCTCGACTGAGTCCAACTAGCTAACGTTACCGTTTTTTTTTAAATAATTTTTAACGGTCGCCGGCGCGAGCTGACTCCATCTCAGCAGCTCATGGGTTGAACCAAAGCGAACTGGATCTTCAGCGTCTTTGGTTCTTCCCCACGGCAAACAGAGCTGAGCTCCTGTGCTGTAATTTGATGGAAATGTAAACAGTTTGGCAATAAAATCTCTGTGAGATATGTTTCACTGTTCAGTGTGATAAACCACGGTGAGAAATAACCTTTAACCTCAACCCCCCTTAAACTCACTGCGAAGTCGTTGTTTTATCGCCTCAAGTTTAAACGGTCCGCTTAACTTGTTCTACCACCTTGTAAGTATTTGTTGTTCATTTCTGTTATTTCGTGATGTTTTAACTTGGTTAATATATTTGTTTCAGTTTCATTATACCTCAACAAGTGACCTAGGTTATGTGCTGTAGTTTATTCTGTTAAAACTGAAGTAATTTGAATTATTCTGTCGCAGAGGTTCCTAGCTAACGCTAGCTAGCCTAGTTTGTGTAGCCAGAAAGCCAAGCGTTAGCTACAGTTTGTAATTAGCTAGCTAGGGTTGCCAGTCTCTCGACAAAGATATAGCACGTAGTAAGCTAAGCTGGTTAGGTTAGCTATTAATGGCGCTGTGATTGCTTAATTTGACATAGTGACCATCATGAAAGACTAAAAGATAACTCAATATAGCTAGCTAGCTAGTTAGCTACATAACTCAAACATTCGTTCATAGCTACAGTAGTTATATCTGTTCCATGTAAATGGGCTTTTAGTGAATTTGACAGCCTTGCATGATGATTAGCCAACTGTTGTACTAAATGTTGCTAAATGTATTCAAAGTCACACATTTCCACCAGCAAGCTAACAGTGTTTGTAGTTTAATATCGCTAATCAGATTTAGCATAAATTGGTTAGTGATGTTAACCTAGGTAGGTTAGGAAGGCTGGTTTACAGTTTGAAAAGCATGTTTCCGAAACTGTATGACATTGAACTTGGTAGTACGGTGTTGCACAGAGGTGAACCATTTTACAAGTTTTCTAGTTATATAAACTCTGTTGTACTATATTGTACTCTCTTAAAACAAATGCAGATGATTCAAGCAGATAAAATATATCTTGATATAATTTTGCTAAAGCTGACAAACAAGGATTACAGCCATACATACATAGGTTACATCATCTAAACTGCTTATTCTTCTGGGTCGCGGTGGGGTGCTGGAGCCTATCCCAGCTGCCACTGGGCGGAAGGCAGGATACACCCCGGACAGGTCACTAGTCCATTGCAGGGCAGACAGACATACACATTCACACCTAGGGGCAATTTAGCGTGTCCAGTTAGCTTAACTGCATGTTTTTGGACTGTGGGAGGAAACCGACGCAGACACGGGGAGAACATGCAAACTCCACACAGAAACGACCTTGGTCGCCCAGCCGGGAATCAAACCCAGGCCATTCTTGCTGTGAGGCAACAGCACTATCCACTGCGCCACCGTGCTGCCCTGGATTACAGCCAAGTAAATTGAATTACTTAATTAGCTAAGTCGTCAAGACAAAAACAGACTTTTATTTTAATAATATTTTCATGGTATTTCATGATGCAGGCATTGGTTGAATTCATTTAGGGTGAGGAATTGTTGCATTAAATCAGAGAATTCAGAATGGCCACGTGTTGGATTCATTCAGAGCCTGCATTGGTTGAATTAATTGAGAGTGGGCATTGGGTGGATTTGTTCCGAGTGGGAATTGGCTGCATTCGTTCAGAGTGAATGTTGAATGCAGAGAAACTTTCAGTCCATACTACCTTTGTATTTGGAAATAGAAGAGGAAATATTTCATTATGGTTTGAATTTGATGGAGTTATTTTTGAACATACAGTTTTGTTTTTGTGTTTGTACTGGAAGGAGATAAAGACTAATTAAGGAATTGTCTTGAAGAGGACTCCCATCTTGCCTTTTTTTTTTTTGTACTCGGTCTGACTTGGACTCAGCCTTGTCCAGTCATGCTCTTGGACTAGTCTTGGACTTGACAAAGGTGGTCTTGACTACAGCCCTAGTACATGCTAAAAAGACTGAGCTCCAGCCTTACCTAAGCAGACCAGACTCAATTTTCATTCAGGAACAGCTCTGCAAGCTTTAAATCTTATTCAGAAGGAGTAACCGCAGTTAAAAGGCAGGAACAGGGACATTCCTTTTAAATTGTATTTACATGGATTGGTAATTCTTTCTAAAATGAAAATATTGGGTTTTCCCTTGTTGTTTTTAATTGAAACAGATGTGTGGGTTTTACAGAGGTACACAGAAGTAATTTAATGAGTTGTAAAATCACTTTTTCTAGGAAGTAATTTGTAAAGTAATCCCACTACAGTTTGAGGGAAGCACCTAGAAATTTGTAATGGGTTACCTTTTTAAATACTAGCCCAACACTGTTTACTGTAGGGATACGAATATGGACGGCCCTGGCATGTATGGAGATGCTGTCTAAGAAGGACCAATTTCAATGCACTACAACACTATAGTGTTATAATTAGTCTTGATTTACTCAATCCTGTAACAAATCTATCATGAAATAGCACACATTCACATTGTGTGATGTTATTAGCTATATATTTCTTCCTGTGGGGTAGCAGAGTGTTTGAGTAGTTTCAGCATGACAGCCTTCTTTTAGATGCTGATCTTAAGTGAAATGCTTCAGTTGAAAACAACTAATTTTACATGTAGTACAATATCGACAGCAGTATCGGTTTCATTATCTCTCATTAAAGAAAAAGTGGTATCATGACATTTCTAGTTAGCACACTATCTTTACTGTAATATCAGTTGCTTACATGGCAAACTCCCAAAGCTTAGGCTCAAGTGACTTCTGTCAACTTACGAACTTACTCCAAAGGCTCTATAAATGCTCACTCAGTACTTATTTACCTCTAATACTGCTTTCGGCTTCATTAGCATACTCTAAATGACAGAATATATCAAGCAAAAAAAACTATCTAATATTTGTGGCTTTTAAATATAAATTCCAAAAGTCTGTTTAGAGTATATTGTGGCTTATCTGTCCCATTCTGCTGTCTCCTCCTCAGGGCTTTCATGGATGTAAAGGAGCTGAAGGATCTCCTGCATCTGGATGGCTCCACACACCTGAACGTCTTCTTTGCCAACTCCTCTGACGAGGACCTAGCAGGAGTGGCCACCTGGCCTTGGGATAAAGAGGCCTTGACACATTTAGGTAAACAGCAATAACCAACAACAGGATTAAGAGAACTGGACAAAATAGATTGCTTTCGCTTTGTGATGTGGATGAGAAGAAATGCTTTGAACCTGTGCATGTGGTGGTTGTGTTATCTGCCCTCCCTGTCTCTTTTTGAGGTGGGATCGTGCTGAACCCCTCGTTCTATGGTACATTCGGCCACACGCACACCATGATCCACGAGATCGGCCACAGCCTCGGACTGTACCACGTCTTCAGGGGGATTTCAGAAGTCGAGTCATGTAATGATGCCTGTCTGGAGACAGAACCTTCACTAGAAACTGGTGACCTGTGCGCAGATACAAACCCCACACCCAAGTACAAATATTGCAGAGACCCGGAGCCTGGAAATGATACTTGTGGCCAACGTTCCTTCAAGCACACGCCATACAGAAATTACATGAGCTATGCTGGTGAGACAGACATTTTAAGTGTAGTACAATATCAATAGTATCAGTTTCTTTATGAGTATCATGAAATGCACACTTTGCTGTGTCCAAAGGAGCTGCACTGGTTGTGTGCAAACACATTCTGCAGAGGCTACATGAGTTATGTTGTTGAGACAAAGACCAAGATAAACATGCATATATACACTCTTAAAAATAACAGTGCCGAAATGTGTTCTTTGGAGAGATGGCCAGAGAACTTAGGACTGAGTAATGGATGGTTCTTTACAGAACCATTTTTGTAAAAGAGATGTGAGAAAGTAAAGAACATTTTTTTTTATTTAAAGAGCAGTAACATTCTTTCAGAAAAGAACCAGGTTGGGAACCTTTATTTGTAAGAATGTACTTACATGCTCCACCAGGATGTCATATGATCGCTGGCTTAACAAAACTCCACAGCTCTGAAAAGGTGACCTTAAAATGAAAAAAACATTGTTTATGTAATAACATGTAATTCTGGACCATTTGTAATGGTCCATTTGTGGTTAAATATTTACACAATAATTTTTATAGGTTTTTATTAGGACGGCGATGTATAGTACTTTACAAAAGTCAGAGCCCACACTTCATTTGTTTAATTTCCAGTCAAATGGCCATTAAGTTCAAGTTATTCATACTTCCGCGTTAAGAAAATATAAAATTACATGGAAGCCCCAACACCAAAGATAGTATCAATGTGTTTTCAGTATTTAGTGTGTCCACCTTTGTCTATTTTAAAATTTTGCTTCTCAGGAGACTTGCTTTCAGTTTTTCAAAGAAATCTGCAGGGATATTTTTTCACACCTTCAAAGTTCAGCCTTAGAAACTGGTAACATTTTCTGCTTCTCATGATTCAAGTAATCCCAATGACAATGTTGAGGCCCAGGCTCTGTGGTGGCCAGTCTGATGTTCTGAGAACATCAGCAGCTTTTTTGAGTTTTTGCTCCTTTTTGTCTGTTTCTTATTCTCAGTAACGGATTATTGACAGCTATACATTCTTTCAGACTCAAAGCTTTGTCATAGAGTTGTCTTCTGCTGGTAAAAGGATGGGCAGAAACACCTGTGGATTTTTTCAGATTTAAAGCAAGAGTGGAGCTTGATTTTCTGATTGTTGCAGGTTAGGTGGTCTACCAGCTCTTGCACTTTGAAATTCCTCTTCCTTATGCAGGTGGATTATCTAATATCTAATCACTTCAGAAATATTTCCTGAATAAAGAGTAACTAATAGATGTAGTGGCTGTTTTCACAGGAAATCAAATGAATGAAAAAGAGACTCTGACTATGACACAGTACAGTATATGTATTGCAATGTTCCTAATCCCCTTTTTTCTCTCCTGAAGATGATGCCTGCACAGACTCCTTCACTCTGAACCAGGTGGCTCGCATGCACTGTTACCTGGATCTGATCTACCAGTCCTGGAGGTCTGGCAGTAAGCCAGCCCCAGTTCCTCTTCCTCCTCGCCTGATGGAGCAGGGGCAAGCCTCACTCACCCTGGAGTGGTTCCCCGCAATTACCGGCCATTACTTTGACAGGTGAAAATGAACCAGGGGCCAGAGATTTTTGGAGTGAGCAGTGTCTCTGTATCACCTTTGCTTTGAAGCATGTAATAACAGAGATAAGGATAAATCATAGAAATCATGTCTCCAAACACACCATACAGCCATTGGGAATCCCTCCATGGCAAAAAAAAAGAAAGAAATCTTGGCTGCTTGCATAGACGTTGATGTAGAGGTTAACAACTACAGATGTGGTTTTTGGCTTCATAGGAATACTGTTAGATATCTGGCTTCCTTTTTCATTAGAAAGCTAGTGGAAACACATTTTAAACAGCCCATCCTCATGTATGTGTTCACCCTAAAGTGCTTGTAGTTTTTCAAAAGTTCCTTCCACCTTCAAGATACATCATCAGAAGGGGGTTTTCCTAGTCTTTAAACCAAAAAAACTCACGCTAGAGTATATTGCAGCACCACTGTAGAAGGCAAGTAGGTACATTTACAACAAATATAGCTATAGTTTATGTATAGTAGCATAAATGTTTTACATAATCTAAAGGGTGTCCAGCATGTTCAAATGGTGTTAAAATATAACTAAAAAAGGTAACTTACTTGTAGCTGAGGTAAATGTTTCATTACATTTTATTCCAAGTAATTCTGGCCCATTTGTCATGAAATGTTCATGTAATGTAATGGGCAACTGTTCAAAAGTGTAAAAGAGTAAAAACAAAAAAAAAGAACTTGAGGTTTTGATATGACAGTGGTGAAATACATAACTGCAATTTATAAATATAAAATGGCTTTAGTGTGCTAGTAATAGCTCTGTTGCCGTGTCTAAGTTGCTACCTCGGCTGTCTGTTGGTTTCCTAGAGAAGTGGGATCAGTATGCAACAGTTGCACTGAAGGCGGAGTGCTCATGCAGTACGCCACAAACTCATCTTCCCCAAGACCCTGCGCTCCATCAGGACACTGGAGCCCCCGGGAGGCGGAAGGTAAGAGCCATGCTTTCTGAAAGTTGTTTACAGTGTAAACAACTTTTGAGGAAAATAATTTGTCATTGTACTTCTAAATCTAAACCTACAATCTATAATTAACACCCAAGGTTTATCTGAAACTCTGACCGTAAACAAAGTCTCAGGATTAACTGCATAGTAAGGAGCATAGTATACCGGACATCATCACAAAGAGCAGAAACCCGATCAGAGATCAGAAAAGACAACTTTGTAGGAAAAACATGATTGGGCTAGCTTAACATTATTCCTGAATCGAAACTAATGATTCCCACCCAAGTCTTAAACCCTTAAATCTAAAGGGCCTGCACGTGGGCCCTCACTTTACTTCCTTAATCACACCATTCTGTACCTTGCATTTGAGATTCATAAAAGTTACAAAATTATTTGTAACTTTTTTTTATTCAGTAACTAAGATTTATAACTGAACAGTAAGTTTTGGGTTTAAGGATTTAACTAAAACCTCATTTATGACATGTTAGTATCAGATACTGTGAATTTGATCTTACGTTAAAAGTGACGTACAAATCAGGATTTATAAAACCTGAAACTCATGCCAAATGTTCCTATACATACACAAAAACTGAAAGATCTGTGGACAAAGCATTTGTGCTCATCTGTACCCACTTTTTCACTGATTGGGAGTTTTAGTTATGCTAGTAAGTGAAGATGTGATGGAATGGTTTAATTAATGAATGATTTAACGTTGATTGTGGAAATGTTAAAGAAAAAAGGAAAGTCAAAATGCACATGCAGATATAAAAAATTGCAAACAGCCAACCAGAGGGAATGTAAAAAGCATATTTCAGAGTAAGGTATAAAAAGGTTCAATAAGAACATTAAATTTACAATAGCTAAACAGGCAAATAAATAAATAAACAAATAAATCAATAAATAAAAGTAGTTGATTTAGCTGTGGAATGCCCAATGTATGTGTTATAATTTCACTTACTATTACTTAAAGGGGAACACCACTGATTTTGCAAAATTACTTAATCATTTAATGGGTTAGATGTAAACAAAATCATTCCGAGTGGTTAGGTGTGAAATGCGCGTTTCTAGAGAAATTTACAGAGTCAGAATTGTTCACCATTATAGTACTAGGAACCAGACATCCAGAGCATTTAAAGGCTCTAAAAGCTACATCCCACTAACTTATTACACAAAATAGTTATAAATGTGTTTCTTGATACCTGAGACATTGTTTTGTGATAGTTTTGTTATAAAGTTTTGGCCCAAAACATATACACTATTATAAACTATTACTCCATATAAACTATTACTCCAGGATTACTTCTGTGTTTCATGTCGAAACCACATTCTCAACTGAGATCTATGCGCGCAAGCTAACGTGCTTTTGTATTTACTAGCTGTGTTGTATCCGATTCAGTTCCCCCTCAGTTCCACATTCCCTTTGACAAATCAGTTCCTCGGGTGCAAACATTCACTGAACAGATAACAACACCAAGCAACACTGGAACTTCAGAAAGCTTAAAGGTTCAAAAAGGGTTTGTACGGCAGCTGTATTCACCCAATTGGTGACAAACACTACAAAAAGTATTTATCATTACAGTTATTTACTGTTTACTCATATTGAAAATATACTTATCACTGAATCTCAATTATGCCATATTGTCTTTTTTGAACCTTTTCGCTTTCCATAGTTCCAGTGTAGCTTTCCTTTTGTTCAGTGAATGTGCATGCTGGAAGACCTGATTTGTCAACGGGAACGTGAATTTGAGGGGGAACTGAATCGGATACAACACCGGCAGCAGCTTTTGTTTACAGTTTATTTTTACAGTTTCTTACTAATTTTTGGAAGATGGCAAAGTCTGTGGAGGACTTTGGTAAGGTCTGTTTCCAAAATGTCATAGAGTCATATCAATTTGAACCAGAATACACAAATGACTTGCAGTGACTTGAAGAAGAAAGAACAAACAAGAGAGAGGAAATTGACGGTGTCAACAACAAACTATTTACTATGCTCACCAGTTTATGGGGTAGGACAGCGAGGTGCAGCTGTAATCTATCGTTGCTCCTCTAATGAGTACTCACATAAGTTATGAGTTTTGCTGACACTGTGTGTAGGAAAAAAATATTACCCAAAAAATGTATTCTTTCAAATTTAGCACTATTTTACCATTATCAGCGTGACATATAAAACCTTATAAGACACATATAAGTTCAAGCAAGCAAGCAAGCAAAGTTCATTTATATAGCGCTTTTTACAACAGGTGTTGTCACAAAGCAGCTTTACAGAAAAGTCCGGGTCCAAGCCCCATTGAACAAGCCAGTGGCGACAGTGGCAAGGAAAAACTCCCTAAGAGCAAGAGGAAGAAACCTTGAGAGGATCCAAGACTCAGAAGGGGAACCCATCCTCCTCTGGTCGACACTGGATAGCAAACAGTGTTAGTATAAAGTATTATAGTACAAAAGAGGGAAAACAGGTGGAGCAATGGTTAATTAGATTAGTTTTAGTTTATGCAGCAGCAGCAGCATCATTGGGAGGGTCAGTTCATGAGGGTGAGGTTTGCACAGCGTTGTACAGCATGAAGCTCAATGGTGGTCAAGCCGGTCCTGAAGGCTGGCGAGTAGTGGGCACCTGATCAAGGCAGAAGAAGCAACAGCATCAGCGCACAGGATGGGCAGCTGTTCAACCCGGCAAAGAAAGGAAAACACACAGAGAGTTAGTTCTGTAATGAGTGACTGATCACAGATTACAGAGTTAACAGAGCAGCAGAGACTCCGGCAGGTCTAGTTATTGCAGCCCTTTCCTAAAAGGGAGAAACCAGAAGATAACAGAGGCATGAGGGCACCCTGAGATGTCGGCGCCCCTCCGCTCCACCGTCAGCAAACTTGAGTGAACGTGTGAGAGCAACACCAACACTCCCGGTTTACCATAGTACTCTATGACCATGAACCCCCCCGATCTACACCTTTTATCTGACAGGGAAAACTAATTACCAAAGGCTTGACTAAACAAGTTTAGTTTTTAGCCTAGACTTAAAGTCTGAGGCTGTGTCTGAGTCCTGAACATTAACAGGAAGATTATTCCAAAGCTGGGGGGCTTTGTATGAGAAGGCTCTCCCCCCTGATGTAACTTTAGAAATTCTAGGTACTAATAGTAAGCCAGCACCTTGTGATCTAAGTAAGCGTGATGGTTCATAGTAGGAGAGAAGTTCACTCAGGTACTGAGGGGCGAGTCCGTTTAGAGCTTTATAGGTCAGTAAGAGAATTTTATAATCGATGTGAAATTTAACTGGCAACCAGTGTAGGTTTGATAAAACCTGGCTGATATGGTCAAATTTTCTGGTTCTAGTAAGGCATTTTGGACTAGCTGAAGCTTGTTGAGGCTTTTCGCTGGGACATCCAGACAGCAGGGCATTAAAGTAATCTAGCCTTGAAGTAATAAATGCATGAACTAACTTTACTGCATCCTGTAGACATAATGCATTTCTTAATTTAGCAATATTGCGGAGATGCACAAAGGCTATTCTAGTAATATTCATTATACGTGCGTCAAAGGACAGATCGGGATCTATTGTGACACCAAGATTTTTTACAGATGAGCTTGATGCAACTAAAAAAAAAAATTGTTAAGTTTAATTGTAAAATTATGCAGTTTGTTTCTAGCTGCTTTTGGACCAAGAAGCAGAAGCTCTGTTTTATCCGAGACATATGGACGTCTGGTTCCGAGTAGTATAATGGTGAACAATTTTGACTCAGTAAATTTCTCTAGAAAGGTGCATTTCACACCAAACCACTCGGAATAATTTTGTTTACATCTAAACGGTTGAATGGTTAAGTAATTTTGCAAAATTGGTGGACTTCCCCTTTAACGTAATTAAGGTTTTAGCATTTCAGAAATAATTTATAAAATCTTTTAGAAAATAATTGCGCATTCATATTTAGGATCTGTGCACATGAGACCTCTGGTTGTACTTCTGAACATAACTAACTATTTACACATAAGGCAAAAAAAAATTACTAGAATTGCACCCAACACAGTTTGTTTAGATCCTGCTGTTTACAGAGTCAGAGGAATTTCAGTTTTCTTAAAGCAGAGGTATTAAACTTAAATCCTTGAGGGCCACAGCACTGCAGAGTTGAACGTTTTTCCTGTTCTGGCAAACCTAATTCATCTCATGAAGGGCTTGATATTTAGCTGATAAATTTAACCTCTTAAAATCCCAGGCTTATTACATACTAAGTCTTATTATTCAGTAACTACAATGACTTCGATGCAAACTGGCTATTTTTAGGTTATACAAGTGTGTAATAAAACTTTGGGCCTGCCTGTGAGCCCTGGCCATTTAAGGGGTTAATCAGTGTGAAATGCTGGGTAGTCTGCAATGCTGTGATGTTCTTTCCATAAGGGAATACTTTTAGCCCAAACGTGCTGTCATGGCTTGAAGTCAGTGAAAGCTTGTGGGGACTAGTAGAATGATCTTATTTGAATAACGTTAACTGACACTTACTAGTTCTCATTTGTTACTGGCAGTTTTTAGATTAAAAAGCAGTGATTTGTTCCTTTAATGCTCAATGATGCAGTTATGGACTTTTTTATGGAGTTTTTTCTTTGGATTTTAGCACGTGAGCACTTTGGCATGGAGCAAGGAACCTGTTTCTATTGACACTTGGAAATTACATTTAATTGGTCGGTGCCGTTCAAACTATTAATGTGCTGTTTTATTGAACGGAATATATGATTAAAGTATTGCACCCAACACAACTTGCCAAGAGAGGCCAGAATGGGGTAGAACGGCAAAGTGATCTCAGAGAGACAGCCTAAAATGTGTGGAAAAAATTAGTCACACGGGTTGTCATAAATGTTGATTTTCTCATGTGTTTATTTTAGGAGATGAGAAATGTGGACGTATAAATATATAAAAGAATTAGTCCATAGAGCTTTGTGATATGAATGAAAATGTTTTTTATCGTAGAGAATGAGTCATGTTTTCCGCGGCTATATCAATGATTCTGCCCTAGCAATTTAACCTTTGATCCGACATTGCATGAAAAAACATGTACCATGCCAAAACATTGTCCTTAATTCACTTTTCCTTATCTAAAAGTTAAAGTTTAGGTTTGTTGTTTATTTCTATTTGGAAGAGAAGGTATTTTTTTGGACTTCGTACATATAGAAACTTGGGTGCTTACTGGCCATGACACTTGTAGGCTTGGATGTTTCCATGTACAATGTAAAACTGTGTGAAAGGTGGAATTGGACTTGACATTGAAAAACAACTGTAAAGGCCTGAATTCCCTGAGCTGCCTGTTTTTCTGTTTAATTACTTAATCACTCAGTGTGGGTTGCTTTTAAATATGAGTGAGTCAGACTTGGTGAGGGAAGGCCATAAGTGCACACTTGTATCCCTCAAAGCCAACTTGGCCCAATGGTGGCTACATTCAGTCAGCTGAGGGAGGCATGCCCGGGCTTGCCACTGCCACAACATTTGAACTAACTCCGCTCTGCACTTGGAACACTTCCCTGGTGTACTCCATAGCCTGGGTGATCTTTCCACTGTTTACAATCTCATACAAACCTGCCTTTGACAACCCGCAGCTGTGCTGAACTGCTGCCCTTCCACAGATTCTTAGAAAATCACCTGCCTACGTCACTTTCACTAGTGCGTGCTGTCTGTCTTCTACTATCTATGCTAAATGGCTAAGTTGGACACTTTTGTGTTCCACCATCCACCATCTCACCCTGCTCCAAGTGTCCTGATGTGCCTCCAGACTCAAAATGATGGAACAGGCAGTAGTTGTGGCCTTATCAAGTTGCAGAAATTTAAGAAAAGAACAACAAGGGCACCATAAACATATGGGCTCAAGAGACTGTCCAAAGATTTCGAGATTGACTATGCAAATTACCATGTGGTTGGTGGTTAGCAGATTGGGTGACCGTGAGACACAAAACCCAGGAATGCGAAGAATGCCTGGTGTCTCTGACCCTTACCTCAACAGTTCGTGAGCCTCCCTTCGCCGCACAGAAAACCACCATGTCGTACACTCGTCTGCTCCTCCATGCCAACAGTTTGAACTCCAACAGACGTCACACAACTCAGTGACCCTGGCTTCATGCTTAAAAATAAAAGAAGCCGAAAAGCATTCTTTGGTCATAGAAAGTCGTAGAAGAACCGCTTTGGTTGCCTTAAGATGTTCTCAGTGCATGGTTCTTTAAAGACCCATTTTTGAAAATGAGATGTATGTGCAGGGGTGGGAAATTATTGTGATACACTGTATCCCTTTTTGTGGCAATACACTTTCTGAGTGTATCATGGATATCATCGGTAAAGAGAGCGTGATTACCTTTGTCTGATTGGATTTAGTGCAGTGAAACCTTAAATAAAAATCAAATATGAAGTGTCAGTATATGTTTTTGCGATATTGCCCACTCTTACGTCTAAGTACTTTTGTAAAGTTAAAGAAACCTTCAAAAATGTAACATTTTTCCTAGAGTCGTAAGTCAAGAACCAATTAAGAACCTTCATTATTTTTCAGAGTGTTGACTGTTTCAGAATGCAGTAAAAATGAGTTCTAATAAAAGTTACATTTATTAAGGTTTGCATTACAGAGTACATCAACTGGCATGTTTGCCTCACCAGTGTGGCCTGCTACCAAACTCAGTTTCTCATATGTGACATTTTCATTAAGTTTTATAGGCAGAGAAGTTTACAGATCTCAGTTCTATTGCATAGAGTTATGTAAACGATAATGGGTAATCTGTGTAATGTTTATAATAATTACCAGTGGTACTACCAAGGAGATTTATAGATTTAAAGGACTTGTCATTGTTAAAAGAGAGTGGCGTAACAGAATTAGTTTAGAAGCCAACATTCATCTGGTTAAGTTCCATGTTTGGGCAAGCATGCTTTCTTTGTTCTAACCTGCAAATGCCAGTGGTTTGCAGGGCTGACTCCTCCCCGACCTCATAAGCATGAATAATATAGATTATAATGGAAATGGTTATAGAGTTATTCTCTAAAAGTACAGTATGCTTTGGCCTCTCTGTCTTTTGCCATCAAAAGCCACAAGCAGTTGTATGCAAAAGCATAAACACCTCTGGTCAAATTACATGTTTTGTTGGTTTTCTAACTGAAAATAATCCTCTACAGGGAGCAAACTCAAATATGATGGTTTTCTGTCTTTATGGTGTGTAATTCATATTTCTTTAGCTAAGTTTAATGTATTGGAAAAAAACATAAAATATAAAATGTGCCACTTTTGCACAGGCCATATTTTATGTTTTTTGTCCAATATGTGAAGTTCAGCAAATAAACAGTAGTTGCTTATTAAATGTAGAGGATGTGTTAAATTATTCTCACTTAAAAAAACATGTCATTTGACCAGAGGTGCCAAAACCTTTGCATACTATACTATACTACAGTGTACTTCTTCTGATCAAACAAGGCTAACTGTAACTATATTAATTTCTCTTACTGCAAGCAACTATTTGTTTTTTACAGCAATTTTCAACAGTTAACGGTCCTAACAATAAATGTTCCTGAATAGTTCTTGGCCTAAATGCATTGAAAAATTTGACTTGGTACTGAACCTTTTACATGATGTGTAGGTTAACTTTAACTTCAAAAAGGTTCTTCACATTTACATGTATAATTTACCAAAATGGTTCTTTAAAAGACCACCTATTGAAAGGTCCTTTAGGGAACCAAAAATGGTTCTTTTATGGCATGGCTCCAAAGAACTCTTTTTGGCACCTTTATTTTTAAGAGTGAGTGCTTGTTAGCCCTGGATCCTATACTATTATAGGCTCCATTGATCTCCTTCTCCTCCGTATGAGAGTTTGTTATTGAGTGGGGCCTCCCTGCCAAACGTTGCCCTCTCTCTGGGCCCCTCCCCCTTTAGCCGCCTCATAATGGCCTCTTGACAGCTCCTGAAAGAATAACTGGCTGAGGGCCAGAATTCCCCAAATGACCTCCTGCCGTCTCACTAAAGGACATGATTTGCTCCTCTCAGTCTGTTTGTTTGTTTGTTTTTGAGATGTGTCTTTCACCGTTCCCTATTCCAGTCCAGTCTCATGGTGGCTAGGAAGAAAGCGCAGTAAAGTCTAAATAGGAACGGGAAGGAATGTTGGTTGGCAACTAGAATTGAAAATGTGTTATTTGAGCACATGGTAACTTTTCCAAATGTCTGACTCTAATATCGTCACTGTCCAATGAAAAAAAACAAATATTTCCAAAATAATAACTTTATAGAAGAAGGCAAAAATGTTCATGTGTTTATGTCAAGAGATTTTACTCCCAGTACTTTCTGAGCACTTCTTTTGGTCCATTCATCATGAAATGTTCACACAGCTGCTGTTTTCTAATGGGAAAAAATGGAAATACACAGGGCATTTTTGGACAGTGACAATCTGAAATGGAAGGAAATATAGAGATGTGCTGTATTTAGGACTCTGTTTTGCCTTTACACACACAGTACAACAGAGGAGTCTGTCATCCTGTTGTAATCCTGTAATATTAGCATTTTCCATTTTAGTAGATTGAAGAAGAAATAGGCCTTGAAAAAAAAAACAAAGTGGTCGGTTTTAAAGTGAGCAGTTAGCACTTGTTAAAATGGTTAGCATGCACAGTTTTAGAAACATAATTTATGGATTGTGGCGAATTCCTTGCCCGTGTTATTGGTTTTGCAGAAGCTAAGGCATCCAGCACATGCTAATAGCTTAAGTAAATCTGGCGTTAAGCATGGGTTTTCATGCACCTCAGAGAGACACTGCTAGGAAATTAAATTTTATTAAATGGGCTACATTTATGCTTAGCGCATTCTCAGCATTATGAACTGGCCTGGCTGTGTTCCCTTAGGTCCTCCGGACGTGGAGCAGGTCTGTGAGCCAAGCGTACGTACATGGAGCCCCAACGCTGGGCTGGACTCCGGCAGCGTAGGCTCGGCCTCCTGCCCGCTGCAGGGCTGCATGCTCCAGCTGGACTTCACCTACCCACTGGTGCCTGACTCGCTCACTGTCTGGGTCACCTTCTTTTCCCCTGAAGAGAATGGCCTGGCTGCCATCCACAACATTCTTCTCCTGACTCTGAGTGGGAACAACATGTCTCTGGGCCCTCAGAGTGTCTTCTGTGACACACCACTCACGCTGAAGCTGGAAATGGATGAGGAAGTGTATGGGGTGCAGTTCTTCACCATGGAGCAACACCTGGAGATTGACGCCACACTGATGGCTTCCAAGCCTGGCAACATGCTGTGCCAGGCGTGCCAACCGCTGCGATATAGGCTAGCCCGGTATCCGCCTTTCAGCCATGCCCCTCATGGAGTGGTTCTCATGGAGCCCAGGAGATACATAGACAGGTAAGGATGATAACTCTTTTTGCTTGAGTCATGAGAGCTTTCACTCTATTCTTAAAAGTAAAAGTGCCAATAGGGTTCTTTGGAGTGATGCCAGCATGTAACTGCTGCATGGTTTAAGGTGGAACTTGCACTGGAGCGTAGCTGCTGCGCCATTTAAAGTGGGACAGAAAATTAAAAAAAAGAAGCAATAGTTGTAGCAAATAGGAAGCCAACTTCAGCCTTGTACTAACACTAACCTTTAATGTTACTGTAGAAAACTGTCAAAACATACAGATGAACACAATCACTACACTTAATCCTGTAGCCAGCACACAATTCACTGGATAATCTAGCTAACGTTAGATAAGTAAGGCAAAACCACAATTTTTTTTATCAATAGATAATGTCAGATTCTCTTTCCAGCTTTTTACCTTTTTTAAAATCATACCACTCAGACCAAATCAGACCTTGCTGATCTCTGAAAAAGAAACCTGCTCCACCAGACAAACACCATCTTTCATGGAAAAAAATAAGTAAAGTCTTTAATACGGATGTTAAAAATACAGACGTGTGAATCCTCTTCATTCTCATTTGTAAGTGCGGCTACCCCTGTAATGTTTTCCCTACTAAGATGACTTCCGTTGCATTAAACACAGAAGTGCAAAAGGGGTCTATTAACTTTTTTTTTCCTAGAACAAATAATTTGTTCGTAATTTGGTCGAATTTGGTCATTGTTCTCTCTTGTTAGTCTTGTACTTCCTTTACCTTGAGGTTTTAGGTTTGGTTGCATTCTAAACCTACTAAAACAACTGAATCTGCCATTTAGAAACCCCCATTTTTGAGTGTAATTGTAAACTGTGATTAAATACTATAAAAGCCCAAGTCGGATAAAAACACTCAATTATTTTTCCAGAGTCTTCTTCCATACGCCGTTCATGCTGTTCATGCCATGTGTTTGCATCTTTTGCTGTGGTGTCTTACCACAGGTCCTCTCTGTATGTGTCGGGTCTACAGAATTGCCCTTTTCCCCTAGGGTTGGGGTTCAGGCCAGCTCAAAGAATTTCACAGCCACCCTTTTAGTGGAGAAATACATTCCACAGATCTCCCAGGCTGGTTAACCTGCTGGAGCAATCATCAATTCTGAGCGTTCGCCTACAAAACAGTGGGTGAGCTCTTGAAGAGTCTAGGCTCTTCCTCTGAATGCCGGAAGGAGCCTGATTGATGTTTTCATGGTTGCGACCACCATGGTGTGGAGGTGAAGGGAGAAGGTTGGGAGGCTGGAGGTGATAGGCAGCCCTGGCGTGTAAACAGCACTTAGTCAAGAAATATAGACCTTGTAGCCTGACCTCAGTAAGGTGGAATAAATCTATCCACCATGCTTGAAGCAAAGCCTCATGTTCTGTCATGGCTTTCTGTTGTTCAGGGGTAATCCATAAATGCATAGAGAGAGAAAAAGAAACTCTACAACCTCCTATGTGGAGAGGAGGCCCACTAGAGGACTTTTTCTTGGCTCAGTCACTACAAACAGAGGGATCACACTTGAGCTGTCTCCTTTCTCCCTGTGGGTGTCATGCACTGGGCCAAGCAGGGTTGTACTTGACTCGTTTGTAATGTTTTGCGTGTTGCTCATTCTTCAAAACTCAAAATTAATCTAGTGTCCTTACTGAAATCTGACCATATGTAGTTATGGTATGGTATATACGTTGGAGAACAGAGACAGATTAACTGTCCCTTGCTCTAGAATCCTTATTCTACATATGGGATTACAGTTCAAGGACCACACACTGAAGTAAGGAACAGGGGAGGGCTCAGAGTAACCCTCAGTCCTGTGCCTTGAAAAATAACAGCAGCCCCCTCGTTTCCTTGCCAAGAATGTCAATTCAGAGAGGCCTTAGGAAAAAAGTTTCCTTCTTGTCTTATTGTCTATTGTCATTTGAAAAACATTGTTTGTCTTTGCTCTGTGACAAAATGAGAAGACATTTGATGTACAGTACTGTGCAAAAGTCAGAGACAACCCTTTGTTTATTTAATTTCCAGTCTAAATGTTTATTAAGAATGTCATTTTTCAACACCAGAAAACACATGTTTAATAGAAAATTCTCAAAAAAAGGCTCAACAACCAAATAGCATGCCTTTATTACAGCTTGGATTCTTTTCAGGAGACTTGCTTTCAGTTTTTCAAAGAAATCTGTAGAGATTGAAGTTGCACTTGCTGTTTCTGAAAGTTTTCCTAAACACATTCAGTGATGTTGCAGTCTGCACTCTGGAGTGGTCAGTCAGTTATTCTGCTAACACCAGCAGCTTCTTTGTTTGATTTGGACATGTCCATTTTCTCAGCTTCTTGACAGCTACACATCCATTCAGACCCATAGTGTTCAGTTGTTTTCTCACAGTGGAAGGATGGACAGAAACACCTTCTTTTCAGATCTGAAGCAAAAGTGGAACTTGATTTTCTCCTCTCTGTTTATCTGATTTTGACGGTTGTTAGGAGTCTCTTTATTTTCTCTATATCTTTTAATAGTTAACAGCTCCTGTTGTTTTTAATTATTTTCCTTCGACTTTTTTCTTCTTTATTCAAGAAGGTTATCTTTTATCTAATCTTCTCAGAAACATCTCCTGAAAAAATAATGTAACTTGTACTTAATGGGCGTTTTGATTGGAAATTAAATAAATGAAGGGTGGTCTCTGACTTTTGCTCAGCATCCTTAGCTTGAGCAAGTGTAAAAATACCTTTCACTGAACATGCTGGAGTTGTGTTTAAATCAGCAATTGTATTAGACCCCCACAACGCAGTCTGGACATTCCATTTTGTCTTTCTTCACTGAAGTGAAACATCTATAGAGTGTACTGAATGAAGAACCAAGTTCAAAGCTTTTTTTCCTCCCCCCTCTATTTCTTTAAGCTCTTAAAATTATAGCCCTATAGAACATCTATTCTTTGGTTCTGGCAGATGTGTCTCTTTTTAACAATACAGAAATGAAGAGTTTAGTCATTTAGGAGGCGGGCATTGTCTTCGTTGTCTTTTGTGTACAGATGCGGGTCGGGCGTGTGTTTTTCCTTTTTTTCTGACACTCTGAATAATGGGCCCTCCCAGAGCACTGGGCTACACCTCTGTCGGCATCCTGCCAAAGCTGCACATTAGCTTTCACTAAATATCTCCCCCGTGTATGTAAACAAGGCTTGACGTGAACCTGGTGAACCTCTCTGTCCTCATACAAGCCAAAGTAATGTCACTTCCAGTTTCCACTAGGTTCACTAGCACACTGTCTCGGAAACATGTCATGAAACATTATAGGCTTCCCGAGTGACTTACAGTATCAGTGTCTGCAAAGTCAATTACAACACAGGGAAGTCCTTTGGCACTTTGGCAAATATATAATGAAGATTTTTAGTGTGACTGCTGGAACATGCCTCTTATTTTGCCATAAATGTCCTTTTAGGTGGAGCTCACATCACTGTAATTGGTGTGGAAATTACAACAGTGAATTAGTGAATGAATATTTTCATTAGGTTCCACTGAATAGCAAAAGCCAGCGCCAGGCATTTCTTTGAGATTTAGCAGTAATTTATTTGAACGAGCTACACTCTCTAAAAAAGCATGCTTGGGTGCATGGTTCTTAGAACATTTAATTATATAACCTTTACATTATGTAAAAGGTTTTTTTGTTGTGGAAAAGATATTCTTTAAACAAGGTTCTTCAAACTCATTGATATCATTTTAAAAAAAACAGCACTGACAGCACTTTTGATCATGCATAAAGTAGAGTAAGATCAAATAGTGCTTGATTCCTGTACAAAAGGCCTAATCCAGTAATCTCTTCTAAGGTAGAAGGCTAAAAATTATTTAATTAATTAATTATACGTAGGCTATATGTGTCCCAGTATGCCCAACATTTACCCAAAAGGTAAAACAGAAATTGGGAGGAATCAAATGGCATACTTAAAGATTTGGCACAACTGTTAATTCTTAACGTAAGTAAACTGTATCAAAAGCAAAAATAGTTATTTGTCCCACATACTGTTCAACACATTTTCCTTCTTCAGTTATCTTCCCTCTTCACTGGGTCTATTTACTCACAAACCTTGAGTAAAACCTTTGAGCAGAAATACTTTTGTAAGTGAAATTTCATGAACGATTGCTAACTTTTACAAGAATTTTTCATTGTATTGTCACTGTCAGAACAAAACCGTGTATCTTCAATTTTGGCATCTTTCTTTTCTTTTGTTTTTAACATAATTTGAAATTATAATTTAAAAGCTGCAATTTATGCTGTCTCAAAATTTGATGATAAACGACGGTCCAATAGAAATGATCCAAAATGACTTCAATGAATGATATAAATAAATAAATAAATAAAATCTAATTACAATACAATAATTTACATTGAAAGGTAAGAAAGTTTTTTCCTTCTAAAAAATGACTTGCTTGGATATACAAGTTTTTGTTTAGACAATGATGATACATTTTAAGTTGTCTCAGATGAATAAAAAATAAAAGGTCACCCTTTTTTGGTCTGTTGTTTTGGAATGCATTTTACACATTGACTCACAAAAAGTTTAGCCTGGGTTCGCAAAAGCTATGAGGAAAAATGGCCATACTTGTTTAATCTGTCATGGAGCTCTACTTATCAAAACAAACGTGTACAGGAATGTATGGTAAAACTGATGTGTACATTAAGAATGTATGGGCACAAACAGATGGTGAGGAGGATCAGTATCTGTATTCACAAAGTACTGCAAAGCAGTGAATTAAGATCATATTTCTCATGTCTGCTCTAATTCAAGCCTCCTGGGATTGATGACTGATCATAGAACAACACCCTCCTCTTCTTTAGTACTAACCACTTTCCTGTTGAGAGAGAAAAAAACGTTTTCCAGGGGAATGACGTAAATAGTTAATCGTAAGATGAAGCGATCTGAGCTAAGGTCCAAAATCCAGGAAGCTCATTAATTAAAAACCAGCTCAAATTCATGGAGCCAGCTTGTGGGAGTCTTTTTGGTAATACCCAGCTTCTTTCTGC